GAGGTCCCTCCCAGGACCCGACCCTCCACGTCCAGAAAGCGCTCTGGTCCCCGAATCTCTCTTTGATCCTCCTGAGAGTGTGTATGTTATGTCAAATTCCCTTTTCATCCCGTGATCCTTGGTTGTGGAGGCTGTTGGAGATGGCAGGGAGAGAGAGGATGAAGGTGTCGTCTACCTGGCTCAAGGTACTCACTCGCTCCAGCATGCCTGGAGGTCCCTCCTCGGCCGCCTGGCGGAGACTCTGTCGGATCACGTGAGGTGAGACAGGTCCCCCTTGGGGGCATCCACTGGGATCCTCGCTGGGTCGAACTGGGCTGGCTGCTCCTGCTCCTGAAGGTCCTGGTTCAGAGGCTGCTGCGGTACCAGGTGGAAGCCCTCGGCTGTCGGCGTCGGGGATGCTGCGATTGTGCCGACTGGATCGCCTGGAGCTGTGCCTGGCGGTGGGACACGTGCATCGTCAGATTGCCCATCTGCGCGGTGAGCTCCTGATTGGACCTGAGGAGAGCTAGCCGCATGTCCCGCATCTCCTTCATCGCCTGGGAGAGTTTCTCGTCTGGTTCGTCCACTGGGAGCCGTGTTCGGCGACGCTGGGGCAGGGCGTCGACATCCATGGGGGTCATCTCGCTGTACTGCTCCACCTCGTGGATGCCGCGGTCCCTCAGGTGTTTGGGAACGGCTCCCTTCATGGACGGCTCGGCCTCGCACATTTCTGCCTTGATGTTGCGGCGGAGGTGAGGACGCAGACCTGACGCCGATCCGGGAAGAGACTCCTGCTTTCCCCTCTGGGCCAGCTTCCCGCGCGAGCCCTCCTTATTGACCTGGGCTGGCTCCTTTATGCTGGTCGAGCGTAGAACTCGATACGCCAGCCGAAGACCGCATACCGCACACTTCCACCATTCTCCGTCCTTGCTGCTGCGGCTGAATGTCTGATCTGCTGGATGCTGGCATTCCATCTGAGCAGGTGTGAACTTCCTCTGGGATTTGTTGTAGGACTGAGGGCATAGCCTGCCCGTCGCAGCCGCTTGTAGAATATCGCCCCAGAGAGTCTCCATCCTGATAAAGAGCCTCGAGACGATTCCCGCCCAGAGACTCGCTGGCTTCGGGAGATCGTGCGGCGCTTCGTTCTTGGTCAGCCGGCACGTCAAAGGCTGAAGTGGCTCGGCGGGGACGGCTGGGGCTGCCTCGGCGGCAGCACTCATGGATCTGCTGCTCCGAGTTGTGGAGCTCGGAGGTCTCGAGGGTCTGCTGGTCGCGAGAATCGCAATCAGTCTGAGCCAAGATGGGAACTGAACTCGAGAAAGTCGGAGTAGGACGCTGGTCCTGCATACTCGGAGCTGTCGAAGTCCCGGGAGTCGCGCAGCGGTCGATTTCGTTGGGGCCCGTCAGGCAGGCCTGCTCCGAGGTGTTGAACTTTGGGACTCCGGATCTGGGGGCGCTGAGCTCCGGACTGCCCTGCTCCTGTCCATTCTCTGGAATGACGACGCAGTTCCTAACATGGCCAGAGGGGTTCTTGGGCCCGGGGGGAGCTTCTGGGGGGTACCTTGGAAGACCTTTTTGAGCCAGGGCCCCTTGAGAGGGAAGACCGCCTTGAACCTGAGGGCCCTGCAGGGGCCCGTGGGTCCTTCCTCCGCCATGCTCGTTAGCCTCGCCCTGCCCTCTTCTCCTCGGGTCGGAAACCCTCCCTTCGGCTGACTCGGAAATCAGAGAGGGTGACGAAGAAGAAGAGGGAAGTGGCAGCATGTACTCGGCATCTCCCTCAGCGCGGAACGATGCGTTCGAGACCCCATGCTTCAGGCGCGCAGGCTCAGGGCAGGAAAAGGCGCTGGGATCCCCCAGCTTTTAAAACCAAGCCGTGCGATGCCCGGAAGGAAGCTGAAACATGGGCGTGCGCACGTCCAGCTGCTCAAAACTCATCTCGTTCCTTGGCAGAGAGATGGTCGCCCCCAGAGCCGCCTGCATGCCTATGGGAAGCAGAGGAGGCAAATCTTGCTCAACTACATCCATTTCCATGACTCCCACTCTACCCTCGAGGCCTATGGGCACCAAAATCCCGGTGATCACATTGATGCGGCCTCCGACCCCGTTGGCGTGCTTGTTTGAACTGGGCGCTCTCGGGATCCTGAAACCTCGGCTCAGCAGTGCCTTTTTTATAATATATTTATATATATATATAATATATATTATATATATATATATATATATATATATATAAACAGGGAGTCCTATGATGGCCTGGCCCGCGGCTGCGTCGACCACCATCGACCCGCCCTCGACGGCCAGGAGAGAAACATGCTCATCGCGACCACGTCGCACCTCCGAGATGGTCTGGAGCACGAGGTCGGCCAGCTCCAGCAGTGCCACCTCGCCAGTCTGATTCTCGAGAGCGAAGGAGGCCAGAACAATTCCAGTGCCGGCCTGCCCGTTAACGAAGAAAGATGTCTGCGAGCTACTGCCGTTGTCTGGTCGTTGAGCGCTGGCCTGTGGGCGCTCTCGCTGCCAGTGCCCCTTCTGCTTGCATTGGTGGCAGTAGGTCACTTTCAGCAACTCTTCTGGGCTCAGGCGCTTCTTGCGATCCCGATCTCCGCGCCGCTCTCGATGTCCGGGCTCTGGTGGCTTGAAATATCTACGGTCCGTCTTGAGAGTCCGCTTGAGCTGCTTGTTCTCTTTCCAGGTATTCTTCTTTTCCTTGGTAAGCACAGCCAGGATGTCCCCTAACTCGTTCTCGTCCACCTGAGCGTTCTCGATGGTTACGAGGATCTCCTTTTCCTCCTGGCTGTCCATGCTCCACTCGCTGCCTTCGTCGTCCTCCTGCTTGGCCACAGCAAAGGTCTCGCAATCGGTCGAGACCTCGAGATACGTCTTCTTGTTGCCAGCCGCGGAGAGGTATTCGTTGCGTGACATGTCCATCTCCCGAATGGCGGCCTGCAGTCCCTGGAAGCTGGAATCGCCCCTTGCCATCACACGAAGCATCTGGTGGGCGGAATCCTCTAGCGACACTCCCTCCTCGAGGAACAGCTTCTTCCACTCGTCGTCCAAGCTGAGACCCTGCACCTGGAGCTGGTCGAACTGCTGCTGCATCCTCGCACTATACTGCGACAGGGTCTCCGTCGACTTACGTGTGTAGTTGAACAGGCACTCGCGACCGGCTTTGCGCCGATCGTCGTCGCGCCGTTCTCCGCTGAGTGTGTCGAGCCGTGCCAAAATGGTCTGGGCCCCGTCTGCACTCGTGAGCACCGAATCTGACAAATCCTGCATCTGGCGCTGCATGTCGATATCGAGAGTCTGCAGAAGACGGTCTGCGCGCTTGGCCACTGGGATATCCGCTCCGTCGAGCCAGCGCCTTACCCGTCGTCGCCACAGCTTGTAGTCCGGCCAGCCCATCCATTCTGGCGGACCTGCCAGATCCGGCTTGTTGTTCCACGACGCTGAGCTCCATGTCTGCTGCCAGCGCTGGCCGGAGCTGGTGACCCACTCGGCGTCGTGGTCCTTGGCGGAGTTCGTCCACTTCCGGTCGCCCGGATCTGCTAACTGGCTGCGGCTGTGATGAGTCCAGCTGTCCTGATTACCCCACGAATCAGAAGCATCCCATGCTGCACTCGAGCCGCCGCGCCACGAACTGTCCCAAGGGTCCTCCGTGACCCAGGGATCGGCTGGCTTGGTGTCTATCTGCGAGTCCCGTGGTTGCCAGCCAGCGCCCTCAGATGTACTGCGCGGGACTCTGGATGAGTCGAAGGCGGCCTGAATCGCGGCCGTCATCATCTGCGTAAGTTCGACTCTCTGGGCATCTGTGAAGCCCGACTCGGGGCGCTGGCCTAGATCTCCAGAGCTGCACACCTCGTCCTTGGTAGCGTCCTTGCTCTCCGACGACCGCTGCTCGTCGTCGCCATTGCCCGCCATGCAATAGCTGGAGGCCCCTGGTCGATACCAGAGGCTCCGCTACCAACTGTTAGATCAAAACTGTCGAGAGCAGCAGCGAAGGAAGAGAGAACACAACCTTTTTCAGTACAAGGACCTGCATGTGGTGATATCAGAGGGCGCCCCTAAGCCACAGGCTACGGAAAAGGAAAGAGCAACGCTCGTGCCTTCCGAAAGGGGCACTCTTGTCACAAGGAGAATATTACAAGCAAAGCACCATGAATGTGTTTGGACTTGTCCCACGGAGCTAACACTCACACTTCCACCTGCTTCTCCACTCGGAGCCGAGCGTCCAGCGCAGCCTGGAGAGCACGGCTGGCCTGGCGCTTAGCCACCTCCGCAGCTTGGTACTCGGACTCGGGCAGCGGAGGGGGCCCGTTCGGCTTGACGACGGGCTGCACGTACGGGGCAAGGAGGGCCTTTGCCTGGGACTCTGGCAGCATGGCAGCCGCCTCCCGCATCTTGGCCATAGCCTCAGGCGGTAGCGGGCCAGGCGTCTTGGAGCGAACCACGATGGCTCCAGGCTTCTCATCCTCAGCTCCTCCGAACCCTGCCCCTGGAGCAAGTGCAGCTTGGCAATGCATGCACTCGGGTTTCTTGCGCAAGATGTGGTCCCACGTCCATCCCGAACACACTGCACACCAGCTCCAAGGGCGCTGTTTCCGGCTGCGACCATGGCCAGCACGATTATGACCTTCCACTGGCTGCCAGCCCGCTTCAGCATCGGGCGAATCGGAGAAGCGGACCCATGGCTTACGCTGACGGGTGCCATCAGACGCAGGCTGGGGCACCATGTAAGTTGTACGTAGGATGGGCAGGACTGCCCGGCGTCGGCGGGGCCTCGGCCCCAAGCGGTTGCTTAGTTGCACGTACGCCTCGCGACTATACGTGCTCGCAGATCCGGAGCGCACGCATTTGATATGGTATGAGAAGGCCTGTGGTTGACGCTGATTTCTCTTTGCCGCCAACCAATCCCCGCAATTCGAGGACGAGGAGGAGGAGGAGGGCGAGGAAGCCCAGGAGGAAGAAGACGATGCCAAACATCGACGAAGAGGGCCACCGCCGCCGCCGCGGCCGAGCCGTGCCTGCACGTGTGCCTCGTACGCGTCGCCGACGGGGATCCGCATGTAGCACAGCGGGCACTCGCTCGTCCTGGCCTGTCGCAGGGCGCTAAGGTCGTCGCCGCCTCCGCCGCCGCCAACGCCGTCGTCGCCGTCGTCTGGGAAAAAGCAGACGGCCGAGGACGAGCGCGTTGAGGGGGGTGGCGAGGAGGAGGATGACGAGCAGGATGCGACGAGAGGGCGAGGACGGAAAGGGTCAAGGACGTGGGGGCAGGAGTTCTCTCGAGGCGGCAGGCGTAACGGCGGTGCGGCCCCACGCTCCGCCCCGCCGCACGCATGCCCTTGCACCCGCGCAGTCGCATGGCGGCGCCGCGCGCCCGACCGCCCTCTGGTCGCTCCCCAGGACGCGCCATCATTCTGACCCCTCCCCCCCAGGTGTGCGACATGCGGGCGGCCGCGCCTGGTGCTCCATGTGCTGGAGACTCGTCCGCGGCTGCTGCTGCTGCCACTTTCTGGCCTGGCCGCGCCACCAGCAAATTACGCACGTACCCTGCAGGGCCGGCCGGTCAAAGCCCGAGGATGAACTCGATGGAAGGCTCTGAGGCCTCCCTCGCTCCACGCCCTGCCGGGCTCTCGGGCCCAGCGGCGGGGCTCATCTCAAGGGGAAGAGGGGAGAGGGGGCCACAGGAGGAGGTAGAATGCGCAAAGGTCGAAGGGTGCCGAGGAGATATGGGGCCGATGAGGCCCCCCTCCGCGAATGGGACAGGGGGCACCCGCGGAGCAGCTCCTGGGGCGCCCGCGCCCGCGCGGTGCGATAAACGTGCTCGGACCTGCGCGAGGGGCCGCAGGTCACCGTTGCAACGCTCGCTCACGGGGCCGAACACGCGCGCGGACCTGTGCGACGGGCGAACTGGGCACCGCCGCACGGTGCGCCCGGGCATTTCTTCCACCCCGCGCCCGGCTCGACCGCGCGCTCCGCCCGCTACCCCGCGCGGCCGGCCTGCAGGCTCCTTCGTGCGGGGGGGGAACGGGGGGGGGGGCGGCGCAGGTGTCTGAGCGGGGGAGGGGGCAAAAGGGGGAGAGGGGGTCGAGGACAGCGAGGCCTAGAAGGACGGGAGGGGGGAGGGAGAAAGGGGGAGGACGAGGACGAGGCTGAGGACGAGGACGGAGACGAAAAAATAGAGCAATAGAGGGGAGGCGGGGGAAGGGGGACGAAGGAGAGAAGACCACGAAAAGGAACACGAGGACGAGCTTGGGGAACAATGAAGAAGATGGAAGGCACTGCCGTCCTGCACCTCCCGTAAAAACCTGCCATGTGAAGCGTCGTCGTCGCCGTCGCCGTCGCCGTCGCCGTCGCCGTCGCCGTCGCCGTCGCCGTCGCTGTCGTCGTCGTCGTCGTCGTCGTCGTCGTCGTCGCCTCCCTCCCAATCGCCGCTGCTGTGATCGCCGTTGCGGCCCCCCCCGTCGTCGACGCGGTCGCCGCCATCGCCCTCGTCGCCCTCGTCGTCGCCTCCACCGCGGCCAGAATCGTCGCAGCCGCAGCCGCCGTCGACGCCGCCGCCGCCGCGTCGCCGCCGCCGCTGTGGCCTTGGCCTTCGCGGCCGCCGCACTCGCGGGCCTCGCGGGCTGCGAGGCTGGCGCGGCCCGCGCGGGCGCCGAGGGCGCTGGAGGGGAGGCCTCGCGAGGGCGGCGTCGAGGGGGAGCAACCAACCTACAACTGGTAAGCATATTCACGCCCCAGAGGGTCACCCTCGGAGGTGAGAGACGATAGCGCAGGCAAAAGGGAGAGGCAAGACATAACCCCACTGACCGTCTGGAGGGCAAGAGCCGAACTGCCTGAAACCCAATGTTACCAACCAAAACATAAGAGAAGCATATAAACGTTACCAACAACATGACAAATCCGAGTGTGCGTGTGTGTGTGGTGTGTGTGTGTGTTTGTGCGTTTGTGTCTGTGTGTGCGCGTGTGTCTGTGTGTGTGTGCGCGTGTGTGTGTGTGTGTGTGTGTGTGTGTGTGTGTGTGTGTGTGTGTGTGTGTGTGTGTGTGTGTGTGTGTGTGTGTGTGTGTGTGTGTGTGTGTGTGTGTGTGTGTGTGTGTGTGTGTGTGTGTGTGTGTGTGTGTGTGTGTGCGTGTGCGTGTGCGTGTGCGTGTATGCGTGTATGCGTGTATGCGTGTATGCGTGTATGCGTGTATGCGTGTATGCGTGTATGCGTGTATGCGTGTATGCGTGTGTGTGTGTGTGTTTTGGTGCTTTGGTGCGTCGGCGGCCTGGGGCGTCTGCACCTCGCCAGGCCCGTGCGCTGGGCCCTCGAGCGACGTCCGTCGCCTGCCGAGCCCGAAAGGAGCCGAGCCGCGGGCAGCGCCCCCGCGCGCTCCCCAGGGCGGCGGCGCCGTGGCCCTCTCGAGGCCGCGCCCCACCCTAGGCCCCTCAGCCTGCTGCCAAGGGGGGCCGAAACGCAGCGAGAAACGCGCCGCGCCCAGGCCACCCGCAACGCGGGGAAGCAGGCCCGAGCGCCCCGAGCGGGGCGGCAGCCCCGCCCAGGCCCCTCAGCTCACGGATAACACCGCGCCAAGGGGGGCCGCACGCACTGAGACCAGACAGATCATTGAACGAGCACAACGGCCTCAACTCAGATCCCTTCCAGTCTTTGGGTCCTGGCCGCGCTGGATGCGGCGAATGCGCCTGAGGCGCTCCTTGTCGCCTGGGTCGCGCGGGTCCAGCCGCCTGCACGGCCCGCCGAGGTTCCTGGCCACCGAGCTGTAGTAGGAACCGCACACGACGCAGACCACGAAGTTGCCAATGATCTCGACCGTATGTGGCCGAGGCTCCGATGAAGCGGCTCTGGCCGTCTCAGGCAGCGCCTGGCCACTCCTGGCGGGCTGGGCAGAGGCCGCCCGCCCGCGCGCACCCCGCTCTGGCTCCGAGGCCGCCGCAGCCCCAGCCGAGGGCGGCGGGGACCCCGCCAGCGGTGCCAGGCCGCCCTGGCCAGAGCCCGCCGCCGCCGCCGAGGATGCTGAGGAACCAGTCCTTGGGGCCTTACCACCGTGTTTCAGGCTGCCCTGGCCAGCACGAGCTTGGTGTGCCGCCAAGGGGGCGGAGCACACAGCGGCCGCTGCCTGGGTGGCAGCCTTGCCGTCCACGTCCAGGGAGCTGGCCAACTCGCCCTGATCAGCTCCAGGCTCGCCAGCGGGTTGAGCAGCAGGCGGCACCGTGGGAACAGGAGCTGCCCCAGCGCCAGCCGTAGCACCGTCGTCCACGTCCTGGGAACAGGTGGCTGCCGCACTGCGGATCCGCAAAACACCCTCCCGCCTCGCCCCTCCCGCTGGAGCTCCCTCCTCCTGTGGCTGGAGTGCCCTGGGGGCGAGGTCGGGATTGGGCGACGACTCGCGCTCTGACGCCTGGGTGCCTGTGGCCTGCGTGGCCTTGCCGTCTGCCTCCACCACCTCGAGGTCGCTGTGCACGCTGAGGGCCGCGAACTCGTCGGTATCGTCGTAGCCATGGGCGTCCTCGGCGGCGCGGCCTGCCGCATCACCTCCTTGGTCGTCATCCGAGGAGAGGGGCTCGAAGACCCACTGGTGCCAGGAGGCCGTCTCAGGCGGGGCACGATCTCCAAGAAGATCCCTGAAACGCTCCCTGACCTGGTTCAACACATCGAAGTGATGCCGAAGCAGCCGACGGCGCTGCCTGGCTGTCAAACCCGAGTCAGGCCGTACCCTGGCGAACTGAGCCTGACGGGCTGGTTCGGCACGCGTCCAAGAGGTGGCGCATAGGTCGTCGACGACCTGCCCGAGAGTGCGGCCAGGGTTGCTACGTAGAAGATGCTCTCGAACTGGTGCCCACGCCGCCGAGCTGAGAAACCTTTCAAGATATTCCGAACACCACGTACGGTAGTCCCACTCGTTGGTGAAGCCTGCCACGTCGAAACGATCGATCCAGAAAGACGCCCAGATGATGGCATCGTCCATGATGGAACGGACATGCTGCTGTTCGGGCGTGATGTGTGGCTGGCTTGGCGGGGTTCCCATGCACACAGGGCCGTCAGGTATCCGCTCCATCCTGCCAAGAGCCGCGCGGGCTGCTGCGACAGGAGCCCACAGCGGGTCGGGGCCCAGCTGGGAGGCAGGCGCAGGGTCGGGCTCTACTCGAGGCTCACCCTGATCTCCATGGTCTGCTCGCTGTCGCACAGGCCGAGCGGCGGCGCCTGCCGCCACGAGAAGAGGCACCGCCACACTGCCTCTCTTGGCCGCACTCTTGACTAACTTGCCCTGGAGCCCTTGGAGACGACCACGGCACTCCTGCAACTGAAAGGCCGCGAGGCGAGTGCGGGCAACCTTGCCGCAGCTGGTGCACTTGGAATAACCGCGGCACACTTCCAGAACGTGCGGGTGCCTGGGACCAGCCTGGGGTCGTGCAGCCTGAGGAATGTTGGCCTCTTGGCCCTGCTGTCGTTTGGGCCTAGGCTCCGCCAACTTGACCCCGTCGAGGAGGACCCTGAAGTGCCCGATGTACTCGAGCACGCGCTTGGTGGCCTTGAGCTCCTGCTTGACCTGCAACGTGGCCCACTCTGGCGGCGCGCTGAGGTCTGCTCCTTGCTTGGCCCATTCGTCGGCTAAGTCATTGTGCCTCATGTGAGTCTGGACCTCCTCTGGCAGCTCTAGGCGTTTGGCCTGCGATATGTGCGAGGCGACTTTGATGACCGACAACTCTCTGCCAGGAAGGATGCCCATGTCATCCAGGCGATCCCAGATCTCGAGCCAGACGTGCGCATAGGGCCTGGCCGCTGAACAACACCATGCCCTGCCACGAGCCAAGCCTTGGACCACCTGAGCATTGTCAATGATGATGGCCGTGATGAAGACCGAATGCCTGAGGGCGTGGAAGAGACCCCACAACTCTGCCAGGACCCCGAGCTGGGGTCGGGAAAGGGCAGTGGGCCGTACAGGCCCTGCACCACGTCGTCGGCCTCCGCTGTGCACTGCAAAGCCGCCCAGCCGCCGTGCCTGAGGTCATCCAAGCCTTTGACTGATCCGTCCGAAACCAGCACATCGGTGAGCTCGGGGGCCGCGCCATTGACGATCCAATGGGTGCGCTGCGACGGTAGACTCCAAGCCAAGCCGTAACATGGGGTTCGCCGCAAACCCCGCTCCCACAACCATCTTGAGGCTTCCGACGAGGAGGCCGACACGCCCAGGTGGCCGACGTCTCTGAAGGTAGGTGACGCGTCGTGGGCCGTCAGCTGCTCCCTCACCGTAGCACACGTCGGGCTGCCGCACCGCCAGTAATAGTGCTGGTGGGTGCCGAAACAGGTCGTGTCGTCGCAAAGCTGGCAATACGGAGTGTCCGCCTGGCCCGAAGAGAAAAGGGCCTCCTGCGAAGGGAAGCCGCCCAAAACCGCCTTCTTGACCGCGTCGGCATGGTGTTGCAGCCACCCGTCCTGCTTGCGCCGCTTGACCAACTGCCTCGCTGGGGTGAGCCACGGCGCTGGCAGGAGCGCAGCCCGCTCGGGCTGAGCCGCCGCCCACTGGCACAGGGCTCTGGAACGGACGGCCAAAAGCACGGCGGCCTCGACCGACTTGGGGCAAATCTGCAGTAGACCAAGATGGACGTCCCCTCCTTGGAGCACCCCGCCACGTGGAGGCAAGACAATCTCGAAGGCTGACGGCATGCTCCAACCGTGGGCTCGAACTGCGACTGAGGCGGCCCCCGCTGGGCCGCGCACCACTGACCACAACTCCTGAGCGTCGGCGTCCATGTACAGCGCGAGCTGTTGCTGCACTCGGGCCCATGCTGTGGCCTGCGCACGCCGCCCCTCTGGGTGGTCCCAAGCTTCCCTCGCCCAAGCCAGCAGCGGTGCCAGAACGAGGGTGTCGGCGCAACTGGGGTCGAGGCCGTCGTGCAAGACCCGGGAGGTAAAAGCTGTGGCGCCCCTGCGGACGGCCCGATCCTTCTGCTGGATGAAACGCACGATGGGCCTGGGCGTGCCGCGGACACGGGCGCCGTAGGCGACCGAGGCTCCGAGGCCCTGCCGCACGACCATCTTGAGCTTGCCCCCGCGTGCACGAGGAAGGCCGCGGATCTTAGGCCAACGCTGCTTGGCTATCTTGAGCCGCGCGTGTCTGACTGGGGCTGACTGGTTCTCTGTCTTGACGCTGGGACCGTAGTCGATGCCGAGCCACCGCTCGGAGGTGCTGGGCGGTACTCCCAGGACGGCCATGGCCTGCGTCAAGCCTGAAGACGGAGTGGCCGTTTGCAGGAAAGAGCACTTGCCTCTCGCCCCGTCCCGCGCTCGGGCTACCTCCAGGCCCAAGAAGGAATCCAGCATCCAAAACAGCAAGCGCGTGGCCTGCGGCAGCATGTGCAAGACGCGCGCCTCGGTGGACATGACCCGCAGGGCGATGCCATCAACGTACAAGTAGATCGTGAGGCGGAAAACCCCCAGCAGGTCGTCTAAGCACAGCGCGAGGTAGAACCTCAGGAAGGTGGGCGCGAAACGGCTGCCCGCTGGGAGCGCTGTGGAGGACAGGACCTCCGCCGAGCAGGCCTCCCCGAGACGAATGACACGGCCAAAGGCGAAACTTTCCAGGGCGAGCGCGACCACCTCCAGCGGGCCGTCCCACCAAGCTGCTAGCCACCACATACGCTCATGCGGAACCTTCTCATAACACTTGGCGAGGTCCGCCAGCATCGTGGCCGCACGTATGCCTGTGCCCAACACGAGCTCGTCGTCCAACAAAGCTTTCCACAGCGCACGCTCCGATGATTGGCCCGCCGCCGTGTAGTCGTAGCTCCTGGGGTGCGCCGCCAACCAGCTCCTGATGGTGGGCAGCTGCCACGCCTCCCAGATTCGGCAAGGGCCAGGTAGAAGAATGATGGGTCGGCCCCCTCCATCGAGCTTCCCGATGATGAAAACGAGCAGGAGGTGGACCTGGGACGGCCACCGCCCCAGTTGTTGGCACCAGGCCAGCAATGACGCGAGCACCGAGAGCGTGCCGTCCGTGAGGTAGGCCCAAAGCTTGGGTTGCCATCCGTCCACGCCAATCCCCGTCTTGGCCCTGAAACGCTGGGCCAAACCGCGCAGGTGGTGAGGGCTGGGCGGCGTGACGGCGACTTGCTGGAGGCCCCTCCACGGCTTGGGGAAACCTGAGCCAGTGGTCCAGACCTTCGACCAGTCGTGCAACTCCTGGTCCACGGCGGCCTGAGGCGCCGCTGGGAGCAGCTTCTTGGAGATGCTGCCCTTGGGAGCCTGCCAAGCCTGGCGCCACTTGGTGGCCCTGTGGAGGAGCCCCTGCGAGCCTGGGAAGTCGTCCTCCAACCGCTGCTTGAAGGAATCTCGTCGTTCCTTGCCGATCTGCCACTCCAAGTACGAGGCATACTGACTGCAGCTGAGGCGCCAAGCCGAGAGCTCCTGCAAGTCTTCATAGCCGCGGTCCCGAGACGTGAAAACCTCGAAGAACTCCTGCAGCTCAGCCACGCCTTCTAACAGCATGTGGTGCCTGAAGCGGTCACGCAACTTGCGGATGGAGGCGTGCCGCTGCTGGTGCAACGTGGTGAGGACCAGGTCGGAAGCGCCCGTGTAGCTGAAAAGCTTTACTTCAATGATGCCCAGCCAAGCCAACTCGTTGGCAAACCACCTCCAACGCTTGGCCTCCCCGTACGAAGCGATGGCCTCGGTGTGGGTCGGGAGCAACGGGCACTTCCTGAAGCGCGGTGGTCCCCCGCGCCCTCGGCATTGATCAGCTTGCCGACTGCTGGGGTCCAAACCCACCTTCTGGATCAGCTCCTCCTCGGCGGCGTGGCAGAAAGCCTCCCAGGTGTCGTCCAGGAGCTCCTGGGTAGGCACCGCATCGGGGTCGAAACCTGCAGGCACGTCTGGGCACGAGAGATCGAAGTGCCTCGGCTTGACTCCTGGGATCGGGAACTTGTGGGGTCGGATGAGCTTGGTGTAGGTAAAGGCCGACCAAGGCTGCTGAAACTCGACCCATGTGGCTCTATGAGGGTGGTAGACCGCGTCGTCGTCAATGCGGGCTGGGGAAATATTGGCAGCCAAACTGGAGTGCATCCAGAAATAATCGATCACGCGCTCACCGTGCGGGGAGCGGTTGGTGCCCCCTTCCCCTTGCCACGCTACGACGCGGCCTCTGAGCTGGTTGTTCCACGGCGAACGCTCCAAAGCGTCAGGTAGATTCTCCCAGTCCGCGATGACGATCCAGGGCAGCTGGAGCTGGACTGCCCACCCCGTGATAACTGACAGGAGACTGAATTGCCCACAGACGCCAACTTCTGACCAGTGAAGCAATACGCACAGAAAACCAGTAACTTGCCGATGCCCTTGGCCTCGAGGGTGGCCATCAGGAGCCTGCCTGCACAACCTGGGGGAGATATGTCCCAGTGTCGCTGTCCAGATGCAAGAGTGACGCCGACGCAGGCAGGTATCGCCAGCAAGACGCCCGCCGAGGCCCCTCCATTCGGGCCGTCCGTCGCTGGCGTGGGCAGGGCCCTCCAGCCCAAGGGCAGCAGGGCCCGTGCGCTCTCTTCGGCCCATAAACGCCGCTTGCCGTGCTCCTGGGAAACCGATGATCGGAATCTTGCCCTCGGTGAGCTGCTGGTGTGCCGCGCCGTGGAGGTAGCCCACAACGTTGCCCCAGCTGAGGCTGGCATTGACGCTGTGGAAGGTGAAGCGCCTGTGGCTCCGCTGTCGACGCTTGCCTCTGCGGGCTCCTGCTGCTGAGGGTCGATACTTGGCGACGTCGCACTGGGGCTTTGCCGAAGTCCCGCTGCAGGTGGACTGGCCGCCAACACTGCCGACACTGACGTCCCCGCCCTCGGTAGGGTGTGCCACAGTCTCATGGGCCATCTCGATGATGTTAGGCTGCCCAGGGCCGCAGTGGCTTTCCCCAGATGAGACAGCTGAGCCTGCAGAAACAAAAACTGACGTAAGCAACGCCTGACTGCCTCCGTGGGCAGAGCCACCAACACCTGCTGTAACAACTGGGTCCGAGAAACCACCATCTGACGTAAATTGCGCCTGAGGGCCTCCAGCGGCCAAGAAAGGCCCGCCTGTGGGAGCAGCAAAGCCCGAGCAACCACCAACTGGCGTAAGCTGCTCCTGAGTGCCTCCAACGGCGACAGAGAAACCATCTACAGTTGAGGCATCTGAGCCAAAGGGGCCACGGCCTGACGCAAGTTGCACCTGGGTGCCTCCAGCGGCCAAGAAACCACCATCCGTGGAAACTGTAAAGCCCGAAACACCACTGACTGAAATAAGCTGCGCCTGGGTGCCACCATCGGCGGCCGAGAGACCATCGCCCGTTGAAACAGCTGAGCCAGAGAAACCACCAACTGACGTAAGCTGATCTGGGCTGCCTCGGACGGCAGAGAGACCACCAGCTGAAATACATGGGGCAGCTCCTCGGTGCTCGTCCGTGAGGTTGCACGCGGCTGGGGTGGGAGTGAGCTCGGTGCATTCAACGGGCGAGGCAGAGCAACACAGCGGCTCCTCCGAGGTCCCAGTCGAGGTGGATGGGCCGAGGTCGGCCTCCAGCACCTTCGCGGCGCACAACCTCCAGCAGTGGATGCGGTCGTCGAAGTAGACGGTGGGGGCCTGCGTTCCCGACGTCGCCTGGGGCTGGCGGTCGAACCACCGCTCCGCGGCTGACTGGGTGCGGTCCTGCTGAGCCGCCTCGCGCTCGAAAGCATCCTGATTAGCCACTTGCAGATGCTCCAACCACTGCCGCTGGAGGCGCCTGGCATCCCCTCCACGGTTCCAGGCTTCGTCACCCAACTCCCGTGCAATCCTCATGCGCTCGGCAATTCGGGATCCGCTGCCCGTGGTGGCTGCCAGGTCGTCCAGCATGGCTGTGTACTCCCCAGAGCCCAGCTGGTGGAAGATGTACGGCACGCAGTAGGAGTCCCAGTGCCTGCGGTCCTGAGCCGTGGCCCCCAGCGACGGGGTAGGGCGCCAGTGCCGAGCCATGCGGCGCATACGCGTGGCCAGGATGGCCCGCTCCCGCCTGCCCAGGCGGACGAGTCTGGGCTCTCGTGGCTTGGCCTCTGGCGGCGCATCAGGTCCCCAGGACTGGGCCTTACGCATCTGCGTCCCCAGCTGGAACGGCGGCTGCTGCTTCCAAGTCCCGCCTGAGCTGAGCCAACTTGGCTGCGCCATCGGGGCCGCGGAGGCTGGGTGGCTCTGGAGGGTGAGCAACAGGAGGCCGAGCAGGGGCCTCAGGCTTCCCAGGGGTGGGGGCCTGGGCTGAGGCCGCGGCGGCCGCTGGGGCCTCCGCGGGGCCTGCTGCCGCAGGGCCTGCGGCTGGCGCCTGGGCTGGCGTCTGGTCTGCTGCTCCTGCCGCCTCGGTGCGAGGCCGCTTGCGCCTGGCCAGCAGCTGCTGGTGCTTGGCGTCGATCTCGCTGCGCCTCTGCTCCAGCTGCGTCTTGGCCTCACCGAAGGTGGTGCGCACGTGCTGCTTGACTTGCTCGACGAAGCCTTCCAGGGACTTGTTGAACTCCTCGCGCTCCGTGTCGGTGATGTCCAGGTCGGGGTCGTCCAGCCTGAAGGCGTCGCCTGCCTCGACCTGGAAGTCTTCCGCCAAAAGCGCCGTGACGTTGAGGCCCACGGCAGGCTGAGTCTTGGCGCCAGGCCCCTGCGCCTCCTGCGCCTGCACCTGGACGCCCTTGGGCGCTGCTGCCTTGTAGGCCTCCTCCACCTCCACGTTGCACGCCAGGACGAGCTCACCAGCACGCACCTCCTCCTCGCGGCAGGCCTGGAGCCACTGCTCGGCGTCGTGGACCTGCTGGGACTTGGAGAGGAAGGCGGCTTGAGCCCGCCGCTGCTTGGCCTGGGCGCGGTTGAGGGCCACATCTGGCAACACCGTGGCCGCAACGGGCGGTGGTGCGACTGCCATCTTGATGGCCTCGAGCTGCTGGCCGTGCTCGGGATGCCTGGCCGCCAACGCCGCGAGGCACTCTGCATCCGACGGCGGGGCGGGCTGCGGTGGCGGTGCCTCGTACCCGAACCAGTCGTCAGAGTGCCGCACCCACGGCTCGCGCACGAATGACCACGCCGATGCCCGTAGCTGCGGAGGCTCGTCCACTGCGGCAGGCTTGAGCGGCTTCTTGCAGTTGTAGCACTCCACCCTGGCCTTGAAGTTCCACTTGTACGAGCAGTTCGCACAGCGGACGTAGTCCAGGGGGTTGGCTCCGCTCGCGTTGGTCTTGCCTGCCTTGCCAACTCCTTTGCTCTTGCCCTTGCCGCCGCCGCCCTTGGCCCGCGGCTCAGACCTGGCCCTCTGCGAGGCACTGGACATGGCGAGTGGGCAGCGCACAGCCTACCCCTTGCCAACACACGAAACAAAACTGTCGGGCGGAGAAGCCCTGGCACTGGCCGCGGACTAGCGGTATCCACTCGTTCCCCTGTGGAACAAATCATCTTGAGCCAAAATGGCTACGGGTGTGTGTGTGTGTGTGTGTGTGGGCGTGTGTGCGCGCGTGTTCACATGTAGCATCGCACTGGTCATCGTCTTGAACAAACTTCCCCCTCCCCCTTCACGGCCTCCAAGGAACTGAGCGCGAGGGCCCAAGAATCACGAATAACACTGCAAAGAGCCAAAACTGCCAAAATAGCGTAAAAGAGAGCGAAGAGGTCTTGGGTCACCAAACGCCTAGGACGCCGAGGAAGCAAAGCGAAAGTACGCATTCGGAGGCCCACAGACTCAGCCTCCCTGCCCGCCTGACGACATGATCTTCTCACAACGTGGACCCTTGAATTTCTCGACTCCATCCTCGGGGCTGTTGTTGAGCCCCTACTATCTCTTGGGGCCCGGTAAAGACCCTGGAGGCTTACAAAAAATCAGAAACCAGTCGTCCTGTTCTATTCACGACGCGGGGGGGCCTGGGTCCGGGGGGTCAAAATTCGACCCCTTGACCCGCCCCAGGGCGCACTTGGACCTGAATGCATCTGGCATCTGGGGCAGGCGTCAACCTGCTCGTCCGAGGGGCCTGGCCCAGCAGCGGGCGCGCCAGCAGAGCTTGGGCCGTCGGGGCCCGGCATCGCCAGGCGCATGCGAGGGAGGCCTGCACCCTGATGCAGGCCTGAGCCAGCCGGGCGACCGAGTTGGCGACCTCATTGTCCGCGACACCCGCAGTCCGAAAGGAGAGCACGCACGCGGGCAATCCATGCCAGGGATGTGCCCCGCAGCGCGCGCGCTCGCGGCCGACTGGAGCAGGAAGACGTCCTGAACGGCTGTCCAGCAGACCCTGTTCAGATGCGTCTGATGCTGGGCGCGGTCGACCCGGCACTAGGGGTCGCGCGGGCCCTTGGGTCTGGCAGCGGCGGCGTTGTCCAGGTGGAAAGTGCCCCGTCTTCCGCGGAAACTGGCCACGAAGATTCCGGCGGGATATCTTCCGAGCTGGTCGCCCGGCACTGGCCTGCCAAGGGCGGCGGCAACGCCGCTCCGTGTGAGCTGTGACCGGGAAACTTCCATGGGCCAGTGGGCCCGGTCCCGGTCGGGGAACGGGGGCCCCGCGACCGCGACCTCGGCGTCAGGTTTCAGCTGCTGCGCGGCACGGTCTGACCGCGCCTCCTGCGGGCGCGGCAGAATCGCGCGACGCGCCTGGCGCTGGCGCCCTCGTCGGATACTCGGGGGCACGGCCGCCTGGGCCCTGCAAGTGGCGAGCCCCCCGCGTTTCGATTGCAGCGCAGATGGGGCTGCGGGGGGTCTGCAGGGGCAACTGCCGTGACAGCGGGCAGCCTCCGGACTTCACCTCCAGCTCGCTGCGCCCTCCTCGTGCCGCGCGGCCTCCCAGAGCCACGCGCGCGACGGGCCAGGTCTGGGCGCGCGCGCCCCTGGCAGGCTACCCCGCCGTTCGCCCAGGCGCCCGTGACATCACCACCCTTGCACGGCAACGAATCATCGGATGGGGAGGTCGCCAGGACCACCCGTCAGCCTGTCAACCGCCAGGGGAATGACCAAGTGCACCCGCGCATCGGTCGGCAAACATGTGGAGCATGACGCACTGCACAAGCGCGCGGCCCCGGCTGCATCGCGGCGTCAGCGTGGTCCATAGTGGAGCTGTCACCTTTGGGCTGGCCTGGGAGGGGCGTGGGAACCCGCCCATGCGAAGCCAGAAGAATTGATGCTGGAGGTCGGAATGCTGCGTTGGTGGGCGTTGGAGGTCGATAGGTGGAGGTGGATGTGGAATGTTTGATGCTGGGTGTTGCAGGTGGTGGTGCTGGCCTGGTAGAGGTTGGAAGTCGACAGGTGGGGGTGATGGTGTGAACGTTGATGTCGGATGCTGGATATGAGAGGTCAGGGTGCGGACCTGGTGGAGGTTGGAGGTCACTCGGTGGAGGTGTAATTGGAGTTGGGTGCTAGCTGCTGGGTCATGTAAAGGAACCCATCATGTAGCGCCTGCAGCGGCCAGAGGGGCCGCAACAGTTGACGTTGAGCCAAATAGGCTACGGGGAAAGACACACACACAATGTTTGGCGTCGCGGCTTCGTGCGCGGCGCCGCGGCGGGCAGAGTCGGAATCAATGAGATGCTCGAAACGCGGCAGAGGCCACCCACCGTAGCGGCCATGGTTTCACGTACGCAGGTGCATTCACACACACACACACACACACGCACACACACACACACACACACACACGCACGCACGCACGCACGCACGCACGCACGCACGCACGCACGCACATGCACACACACACACATGCACACACATACACGCGCACACACACACACACACACACACACACACACACACGCACGCGCAACAACAAATAAAGCACATCGACGCTCGAATCCGATGCTCGTCATCGAGACTCGGTCCTAGAAGCTCGCGGATCCACCCTCGAGGGCATCTGCCTGTCCTAAAAGAAGCATCGGCACTCGGAGCTCGCTCCGCGTCCTCCAGACTCGGTCCTCGCAGCTCGAGGAGTCACTCTCGGGGACCCGGCGGCCGCTGCTGCCTGCGGCGTCGGCGAGTGCGGCGGGGACCACGGCGCAGGACGGGCGGGCCCCAGGGTGTTCGCCGAGCCGCGCACCGCCGCGGGCCTCGTTTGGGGGGGGGGGAGGGGCGGAGGGCAGGGTGCGAGGCAGCAGCTCATCAGGTCGGAGGGCTGATATGAGCTGGAGGGTCAGGTCTATATGCTTGTCGAAGAATATTTTTCTGGGGCCTAATCCACAAGCGTCTATGGACACAGTGAGTACCGCTACGTACGCAGTCGTTACGTATTTATGTCACTACGTTGGCACATTCGGGGTGGATGCGTGTACAGACAAAGCGGCCGTTTCGTTCGGCGCAGTACAAGATCGGAGAAAGGGCAAATCCGTCTAAGGTGCGCTCATCTTCTAGAGCAGGTCCCGTGGAACTCCAAGATATCAGCCAACCTCACAACTGCTCAATGCTGCTTACGTGCCGCGCTGCCTCGTCGCAAGGGGGCTGAGAAATGCTCGGAACACTGTTGCTTGGGACTGGGACGTGATCAGCGTGTCGCGTCGAAGCGTAGTGGGCCAGAACCAGCGGCGCGACACGCTGAGCAAACGTTCCTGACCGCAAGTGCCCCTGAGTCCTTAGGAAAACGCACCTCCGGAAGAGATCGAACAGGGCAGGGCTTTTCAGCAAGCGCCCAGGGACTTTTTAATCTGTGACGGTTATGGGAATCGGGGTGGCCTAACCTCACTTGACTGATATCTGGGCGTCGTGTTTTTTTCAGTGCCAGGCGTTTCCGCCCGCCTTCGGGCCCCGGGACCCTCGCAGATCTGTTCTGCTGGAGAAACGCCGCAGAAAGATGCGGTCGAGGGCTCCAGTTGAAATTGTTCACGATGATGCATTTGTTGCGAGTCGGATGTCCAGTGGCAAACTGAACCCGCGTCAAACTGGATCCGCCCACGCTGCACGACAACGACGCCAGGTTTGGCACCACGAAGCCCAACTCCATCGTCTGGAGCGACGAATGCAACAGGAGCTTCGACCCGGACGGAGGTGCCTGCGTTAGCATGGAGATCTGGCAGCTTGGCAGCCAACAGAAAGACAGCCTGCAGGTTGGGAGCGAATTACTGTTGGCACTGCGTCGGGTGCTGGAGGGACGAGTACGACAGCCTGGGGGAACAAATACTGGATGACATCAAACTTCCCGCACTTCCCGTCTTTTTGCGCGACCTGAGCAGCAGGCCGCCACCAGAGCACGAACGGCATGCGCGTCGACCACTTCCCTCCGGATGCATGGCGGCGAAGGCGATCGACACTACCCGCATGGCAGACCTCCTTCTGCCGCACACGGGGCCCAACAGCCCGACTACAGTCGGCAAGACCATCTCCAGGAGGCGCACCGAAGAGGATCGCCTCGGCGTTCACGTGGCGCCTAATGCGGGATGACGATTAATAAAACTAGGGAGAACGATTAAAACATAGTTTCCTTTATATTTGTAATATTACACAACGGGAGGAGGACGATTAAACAATGTATATTACACGTCGGATTCGACTATTGCGTCGAGTACTCCTTTCACGTCGTCGTCAAATTTTACGTTAAATAATCATTCGACGTCGACTTCAAATCTTACGCCAAATTCCAATTCTACGTCGGCTTTAAACTTTTACGTCAAATACTCGTTCCACTTCGGCTTCAGACATTATGTCTACTGCTCATTTGACGTCGGATTCAAATGTTACGTCGAATGCACAACCCACGTCGGCTGTCCGGGCGCGCGCCCGCGGACGGCAAGGGGGGAACGATTAAAATTCGCTGGCCCAACGGGCCAGAGGCGTGCTAAGATCTCCGGTAACTGGTAAACAATATTTCTGGTTCGCGCGCGCGGGGCGGCCCCTGGGGGTCCCTGCAGGAAGTACCCCGAGCGGAGCCCGGGACACGCCCGGGACACGCCCGGGACACGCCCGGGACACGCCCGGGACACTCCCCCAGATCCTCCAGGATCGCCCCAAGAGGGCCCCAAGAGGCCCCCAACACAATCCAAGAGAGGTCCGAGACGCCCGAAGATCGCTCCACGGCGCCCAAGATGGCCTCCAGACGGCCCAAGAGGTCTCCAAGATGACCCAGCAAGCCTCCAAGATGCCCCAAGAGGCCTCCAGGAGCACTCCCAAGAGGGCCCCAAGAGGCAAAAATCCATGTTTTTTTCTTAGGTTTTGGACAGATTTGGGCGTTTCAACCTTTTCGGTTCCCCGACGCCCCTAAACGGCTCAAGAGGCCTCCAAGATCGCCCCAAGAGGGCCCAAGAGGCCCTCAAAAGGGCCCCAAGACGGCCCAAGACGGCTCCAAGACGGCCCCAGAGGCCTCCAAGACGGCCCAAGAGGGCCCCACGAACGCCTCCAACACGGTCCAAGAGAGGTCCGAGACGCCCAAAGATCGCTCCACGACGCCCAAGATGGCCTCCGGACAGCCCAAGACGTCTCCAGGATGGCCCAAGAAGTCTCCAAGATGCCCCAAGAGGCCTCCAAGAGAACTCCCAAGAGGGCCCCAAGAGGCAAAAAACTGTGTTTTTCCCTTCGTTTTGGACAGATTTGGGCGTTTTAACCTTTTCGGTTCCCCGACGCCCCTATACTGCTCAAGAGGCCTCCAAGATCGCCCCAAGAGGGCCCGAGAGGCCCCCAAGAGGGCCCCAAGACAGCCCAAGATGGCTCCAAGACGGGCCCAGAGGCCTCGCGGACGGCCCAGGAGGGCCCCAAGAACGCCCCCAACACGGTCCAAGAGAGGTCCGAGACGCCCAAAGATCGCTCCACGACGACCAAGATGGCCTCCGGACGGCCCAAGACGTCTCCAAGATGGCCCAAGAAGCCTCCAAGATGCCCCAAGAGGCCTCCAAGGGAACTCCCAAGAGGGCCCCAAGAGGCAACAAACTGTGCTTTTCCTTTGTTTGGGACAGATTTGGGCGTTTCAACCTTTTCGGTTCCCCGACGCCCCTAAACGGCTCAAGAGGCCTCCAAGATCGCCCCAAGAGGGCCCAAGAGGCCCCCAAGAGGGCTCCAAGATGGCCCAAGACGGCTCCAAGACGGCCCAAGAGGCCTCCAAGACGGCCCAAGAGGGCCCCAAGAACGCTTCAAAAACGCCCCAAGAGGGGGTTCACGAAACAGAATTTCGAGGCCTCTAAAAAGCCTCAAGAGGCCTCCAAAAGGCCCTCTGGAGGCTTCCAAAGAAACCTTGAGGAGGCCCCAAAGACGTCTCCAAGACTCCAGCCAGACGCGACTTGGGAAACGCGGGTCGGGGTGGTCCTCCTCCCCCGCGTTCGGCCTCCAGCCTCGAGCCTCGACCCTCCACGACGACGACGACGCCGGCGGGCGGCGGCGGGCGGCGGCGGCGGCGACGACGACGACGACGACAAAGGCGCTCCTCATCGCTCCTCATCCCCCTCCTCCTTCCTCCTCCTCCTCCTCCTCCTCCGGTCCAATTAGAAAAGAGATGATAAAAGAAACGCCACAAGAAAGTGTTCCTTCACGCCCGTGTCCGCAACGCCAGAGGACATCAGGACGATAACAAAGCCAATGTTAACATTCAAAGCCCGCCACCCTCCGACACGACGGTTCCCCTATCGCATAAGATGTCTCTTCCCCCGGCTCGAACGGCCCCACAGCGGGATACCACGGGTAACACGCCCCCACGATGGCACCAAAGCCGTCAAAAAACTGCAAACACCTAGACACCCCATGAACAAAAAAAAAAAACATTAACAAATTTATCGACAACTACACAGCTCCCGACGCCGCAGCTCCACACTGCAAACGACCACTCGGACAGGCGACCACGGTGCGACATTATGGGCCGGCGGAGTGAGGGAAGCGATTAAATAGTAGTTCCCAGCCCGCGGCCGGTTTTTCTAATCATCCTCCGGGGCGCCGCCAACACAACACGACCCCCCGTCTTTTATTACTCGTCATCCTATATTAGTAGGTACGAAAGGCAGTGCGATGGGTGCCCGACTGCGGAACCCACTGAAGCATTGAATCCCGTGGCCCCCCGCCGGGCATGCCCGTGTTCCGACAGAACGTGGGAGACGGGGGCGACGCGCTGAGTCAGGATATGGTGTGTGGCCTCCCGTCCTACCCCGACTGGATTCCCGCCTTCCGGAATGAGACTTGGCATGTCCTGGAACGTCGGGACGCTCGGCCCTCCGACGTCCGTGCAATCCTGGCCTGGGATGGGGTCATGGTCTACCCTGGGAAGCGGTAGGCACGCGACAAGGCACGAACCGAAGACGGCCTCGGCACCAATGCCCTGAACGGCAAAGCAGCTCCAGCGGCCAGTAGCATATACAACCTGGGCGACGACTTGGACAAGCGCATGGCCCGGCAGGCAGCCAAGATCAGAAACGACCCACTTGGGGCCTCTGCAGAAACAAATGACTACGAAGGGACAATGCTTCTGCTTGACCTCGCACGCGGGAAGCAACGCCCGCCCGGCTCCTCCGACCGAGAGCAGAGGGCCACGGCTGCACTCATGACAGCGCGAAAGGAGAATCACCAGACGTCCCTACCGCGACGTGGCGGCGCCCCACGCTCGCCCAGGCACAGGCGCAGAGCCGTCTCGACCCCTAGCAACTCGGGCGGTGACCGACCTACTCGGATTCGGCGAGGCAGGTCCGCAGAACACCCTGCCCACCGACAACCACCGCCGGCGCAGCCAGCACCGCAACCAGCAGCTGCGGCGCAGCCAGCGTTGCAGCCAGCAGGGCCGCCAGGCCCTTGGATGCCACCGCTCCTCCTGCCAGCCGACGGCCCCATGGAGGCCAGCGCCCCCGCCCGCGTGCCCACCGCCCCCGTCGCCAGAGCTCCCGCCGTGGCAGGACCGCTGGTTGACCTGGCTGGCTACGTGAGATGAAACTACGGCCTGGCCATCAACCTGCACGTGGTCAACTTCTGCAGCAGGCGCCTGGAGGGCCGCAACATGGCCCCGGGGGCGCTCCCGGAACCGTTGCTCTGGAGATTCCTCCAGTCACTGAGGAAGGACGGGGAGGTCCTGAACGCTGGCCACCTGGATCGTGGCTGGCCAGGCACCTGCCAACAGTTCATGCTGGCTCACCGGGTGACCTGGGCGATCGAG